GGGGGGTATTTTTCAAACCAAATTTTTCTGCAAAATAACACATGGATGGATGTGGGAGCTTGCTCTGAATATTAAAAATGAATTAAATAGCATTTTTGGTTTGTGGTGCTCAAATGCAGTGTAGTTCCAAAGGTGCCAATCCTTAATGGGGAACGGGGGACCAGTCTTTAACCCCTTGACGCCAACATAACACAAATATGCGGCCTCACAGAACTGGGCTTTTTTTCCGTGGGGCCGCATATTTGCGTACCTGTCTTCCTGCTGGGAGCGCGCTACACGGCGCACTCCCAGCACAAAGACCGCAGTGTCACTGAGAGCACCAGGTCCTGTTCTAACAATCGGGACCCGGGACTCCCGATTCCGGGTCACATGAACACTGTGATAGCCTTCCGATTGGCTATCACAGTGATCAGTCACTGTACAGCCTGGCCCCCTTGTTTTTTTTTCTCTATATGAATGGAGGAGAGAGATACATTGTATCTTTCTAACTGCTGGCATAGAGGGGGGGAAAAAATGTTTGTAAAAAAAAAAAGATAAATAAATATTAAAAAATTAATAAAAAATACCTAGATCAAGTTTTGATCTAGTTCAGTGCCAAGGTAAGTGTTTGGGTCAAGGTCAAGGTCAAAGGTCAGGATTTATAAAAAAAAAAATTTGGTGTCAGTGTGTTTTAGGTAAAAAAAAAAAAAAAGACAAAAACAAAATGCGCACTAATATTTCTGTGCTGTACTAAGGGTACAAACAACAAATAACATACACATATATAGTATCGCTGCGATCATCAAGAGCTGGAGAATTTATTTTGGGTTATTCTTTGATGGTAGGTTATGGTAGTAACAAGAAACACACAGCTAAATAAAAAAAAAATGATTTTCTTTTTTACTAATTTGGTCCAGTTTTCCTTTGATAATAAAAAACAAACAATCAGGAGATATCCATTACCATTTACCACCAAATGAAAGCCCAACTTGTCCTGAAAAAAACAAGGTATAATCCACCTGGATGTACAAAGTAGTTGTGATGATATGTACAGTTTTACTAACATGTCAAAAGTTGCAAAATTGTGATTAGGCATTTAGATTTGTTTTACCCTTAGGCGTGAAGGTGTTAAAGCAGAACTTCCCCTTTCAGGTGGAGCTCCGCTTGAAGTCTGTAATTTTTCAATTTACTTCAACAGATCAAGCGGTCCGGACAAAGTTGCAGCTAGTAGGTTGAGAAAAAATAATTTACCACTGACTGGTGTGCAATGATCAGATTTTATCCATTTAAGTGGTTGTAAACCTCAGACATGAAATATGAACAAAGCATACCCTTCTACAGTGTACTTGTCTCAGTTAGGAGACAAAATTCAGCATTTTGAAAGGATGTAGAGAACAGAAGAGTGCAGGTAGACAGGTACAACTTATGTAGGAGTAATTATTTTATCTCTGTGTATCACCTGAGGCCAGTCACTTCACTGGGTATATGTAATGGTTTACAACCACTTTAAATCCATTTAAATCTGCTAGTCTAATGCAGGCCATAGATTTTCATCCTGTCTATGGCCGGCAAATATAATAGCGGTGTCCCTGCAGAGAGCTCCGCTATTATATTTGACAGAAGAAATAGAATATGAATAAGAAAAGAAGAAATAGAATATGAATAAGAAGAAGAAAAAGAAGAAATAGAATATGAATAAGAAGAAGAAAAAGAAGAAATAGAATATGAATAAGAAGAAAAAATAGAATATGAAGAAGAAAAAGAAGAAATAGAATATGAATAAGAAGAAAAAGAAGATATAGAATATGCAGAAGAAGAAAAAGTTGCAACATTGTATCTATTTGTATCCATTTCGGATACAGATGTTTCTATTCGGATACAAATAGATACAATGTTGCTATACTTTTAAATGTGAAATATAATATCGGACTGAAATTCTTTTTTTTTTCTTCTTCTTCTTCATATTCTATTACTTCTTCTTCATATTCTATTTCTTCTTTTTCTTCCTCTTATTCATATTCTATTTCTTCTTTTCTTTTTCCTATTCATATTCGATTCTTCTTTTTCTTCTTCATATTCTATTTCTTCTTTTTTTCTTATTCTTATTCATATTCTATTTCTTCTTTTTCTGCTTTTCCTTCTTCTTGCTGGTCACTGCTCACGCGCATTTTTTAAAACCGGTAAAAAGATCGGCCGATTTGTCAATCATTGCCGTGAAAATCGGCCGAACGAAAAAAATTGGCCATTTTTTTTTCCAACATGACTGACAAAAAAAAAAGTGTCAAAATCATGAAAGGGTAGTGTTATGCAGGCCAAAGACGGGGAGAAAACCGGCCGAAAGATCGGCCGGTTTTCTCCCCGTCTATGGCCTGCATAACACTACCCTCCCCCTAGACCAGTGTTTCTCAACTCCAGTCCTCATGGACCCCCAACAGGTCATGTTTTCAGGATTTCCCTCAGATGAAACAGCTGTGGTAATTACTAAGGCAGTGAAAACTGATCAAATCACCTGTGCAAAATAATGGAAATCCTGAAAACATGACCTGTTGGGGGTCCATGAGGACTGGAATTGAGAAACACTGCCCTAGACTGACAGTGCTGCTGTCCAAATGTGTCTGCTTTACTACTTCATCCAGAACAGAGACACCCTAAAAAAGAACATGCTTTACTGGCTGGATCACCAGGTGAAATAAAGGACAAAAAAGATTGAAAAAACATGAAGTCACGTCTAAGAATTAGTAAACTGCAGAATATTCTATTTTTGCTTTAGTGATTAATACTACTTTAACCTTTTGCAGTAATGACTAGTAGCTAGCATCTGTCATCATCACATATACCGGACTAGAACAGCCTTGATAGCTCAGTTCTGGACCTTGACCTTATAGAAAATTAGATGAAAAACCCCCAATGTTGACACATTCAGCAAAAAAAAAAAAAAAAAAGCAAAAGGTTATTGTCCTTTTCTCCTCTATCCAAAACAAAACAAATGATTTAATAAAAAAAACCGTAATTTGACCATTTTTAAAAGATTTCTTCTGATGTAATTTTATAAGGAGGAACAATGCTGCACAATGACTGTGTACAACAGATATTGTATATATGTTTACCAGACCAAGTCTCTATGGTAGAAAACAAATTCTTGGCAGTCTCAAATTCAGAACACAGGAGTTCAGGAGCACCTGTTCTTCTTATTTATGGTAAACAAGATAGTACTTTTTTGTATGAAAATTATAATGTGATTTGATAATGTCCACATGTGAAATGTAAGGTGTAACCCTGACCTATTTACAAGGCTACATGAATAAATTCCATCTCACAATACCAGAAATATCAGGAAAAAAAAAAAATCACATTTCTCCTTCAAAAGCAGTTCTTGAGCTTTAAGGAAATAGCTGTGTCTAGTGACTCTATCGAGATGGAGAATATTATCAGTCTGCTGCAGGAAGAAGATGGCAATTGCCCTGTCTCTCCCCAGTCCTTATCCCACAGGCTACAATATTGTACCTTGGACCTCATCTGTGAGAGACACACACAGCCAAAAACATACAGGCAACTGCACAAACACCATGACAGAGGAATGATTTCAGAGCAGGCAATAATGTAGTGTAGTATTGTGGAGGCAGCTGGATCCTGTAGGAATCTTCACTGTAGGAATGCCCTGTGCTCTTCCTGCTGCTGAACTTCCAGAGCTATGATGGTATCTCTGAGTGAACCTGCAATGAACAAGCTCCCGACTGGGGCATGTCGCCTCCTCCTCTCTTATCTTCCACTGGGAAAGGATTTTTCATAGTGTACGCTTCAAGTAATATGAACTGTGAATGGGGGAGAGTCATAGGAGTCACAGAATATTCTTCCCTATCAGATGAGTCACAGTCTCCTCTCCCCCATTCACAGATCGCACACTATGAAACAACTTATCCCAGGAAAAGGAATTTTTCCCAGTTGGAGGAAGGAGGGGGTGAGTCCCCATCAGGGGTGGACTGACAACTCATGGGGCCATCTGAAGCTCTCTTACTACAGCCTCACAGAACACCCAAAGCAATTAACCTGTCCAAGCACTGCACATTCAGCAGCAGGAAGAAGACAGGGCATCTCCGCACAGAAGATTTTTACAGGATCTAGCTGCTTGCACAACGTGAGACATTCTTCATTACAGGCAAGTTATGTATCTAAAGCTATAAACTTCAGCTTTAAGCATCATGTCCATGCGTGCTGTCAAAGCTCTGCCTATGTACCATAAAACATTTAGGTCAAGAAAAAAAAATCCACACACTATTTTTATTATTATCACTATGAGAAGGAAGATCAGTGTTGCTGAACCATCATAACCGGGCAATACAATATACTATGAGTAAAATATAAAACATTGTAATGTGTAATGTAAATGTTGTACTTATAAATGTGCCCTCACAGCTACTGTATTGCCATCAAACCACTTTAGTTACTAATACTGATTGTACCTGATATAACACAATATTTATGATCTGTCTGATCTTGTTTAAGACCCTGCCAATCACAGAACCATAGGAGACTCACTTTTACAGCACAGAAAAGATATCAATTCATCTCAGCTTGTCAAGGAACAGTTGGGTTCTCTTTCAAACACAGTAAAACAGAGACATTTTAAGGCACAACTCTCATCTGTGCCAATCTATAATCATGAATCTTCACTTCTGAATTCCCGCCAACAATAAATGAAAGGAAAGCTCTAGTAATTAAAAAGTATATCTACTTAAATCATTCCAAGTAGAACAATTAGCCACCGAATCATACTTTAGTATTCGGGAGTGTGCCTGCCACAGTTCAAGAGATTATCTAAACTGTGGACGTTTTTCGAGGGGCAGCAAAACAGCTTTTGTGGCTACGAAGTGGTTAGCACTGTGCTCTCTAGCGTTGTATCCTGTGATCAACTCTGAGCACTATTTACTGTCTAGCACAGGGATGGCGAACAAGTTAGACACAAAGAGCCAAAATTTTTAAACTGTGAAAGTCAGAGAGAGCCACACCACCAAAAATTTGAACTAATGGACTGCAGAAGATGACCAGAGATGCGGACTGCAGACCACAGACTGCGGACAGCACAGGGATGACCAGAGACTGCGGACAGCACAGGGATGACCAGAGACTGCGGACAGCACAGGGATGACCAGAGACTGCGGACAGCACAGGGATGACCAGAGACTGCGGACAGCACAGGGATGACCAGAGACTGTGGACAGCACAGGGATGACCAGAGACTGCGGACAGTACAGATGACTGCTGACCTTTGGGGAGGTGGGGAGCGGGTACCTGAATTTGACAGGTACCCGCTCTTACTTCGCAGAGTTTTTGTTTGATCTTACCTGTTCCTCGATCCTGCCGCTCTCGGCATGACAGCCGGGTGCCCAGTGCGCATGAGCGAGAAGCACTTGCGCTTTGTGATTGGTCCAGCGGCTTCTGGGATCTGTCATGTGTCCCAGGTACCGCCTTACCATTCACAAAAAGCACCGCTTCTTGCGCATGCGCACTTGGCACCCGGCTGTCATGCCCAGTGCCCACATTACAGAAGCCGGAAGACAGCGCGCCGCTGGATAGAGGAACAGGTAAGATCAAAGAACAAAGAAGTAAGAGCGGGTACCTGTCAAATTCAGGTACCCGCTCCCCACCTCCCCAAAGGTCAACAGTCATCTCCATAAGGTCCCGCTGCAGAGCTGAGCGGCCGGCCCGGTATTCTGACATGGACCGCGGTGGAAATACCGGACCGGCCGCTCCAGAGCTGCATTCATTTTGGCCGGGAGCCGCGTGTTCGCCACCCCTGGTCTAGCATCACATCAACTATTTAAATGCCCTGTAATCCATTTTTCAATTTAGTCCTCATGCACACTGGGTGTTTTAAAAAGGCCAGTAGCATTAGTTGTATAAAGTCGTGTTAAAATGTGAGCTTTTAGCATTTTTGCATTAGTGTTTACTTGTGTTTTTCTGTGTGTTTGCGTTTTTTAGAAAAAAAGAAATAAAAATTTAGCTAAATAATGGCCAAAAACAGGTTTGCCACTGTGATGGCTGCGGTGTCAGACCCCAGCCCTTCTCAACTCGTGACCGAAGGACTAGCCAATCTAAAACCACGCTGTCACGTGCGTAACAATGCCATGCCCAGCTGTACTCTGCACAAAAATTTTCCAGCTAATGGACCACAATCTGTGTATCTGCAGCCTGGGAGCGATTGTTACTGGGTCAGGTTAATTACGCAATTAACCCTTCACACTGCCACCACTTCCTTTTTGTACAGAGAAAGAGGAAACTCGGCAATATCAGCAATAACACTATGATGTTTGCATAAAGCGTCGGTATACCACTGTCACCGCAGGCAGAGATATGCCGAAGTTTAAAACACACAGTATCGCTCTTCAGAGGCAGGTGTTCTTAGTTTGCATTAAAGAGCTTTAGAAACAGTTCAACACTTTCAGAAAGTAAGATTTATTACTAAAAGGTCAAAAGGGTGCAATTAAAATATTTACAGAAAAAGATGTAGCCAATATATATATATATATATATATATATATATATATAAATATACAGAGAGCAATAACATAGCAAAGAGATAACAGAAAGGAATTTGGAGAGATAAAGTACTTGCCGTCAGCCTTGGTTTAAGCAGATCAAGTTTCCTGAGCAAAAGGGCTTTTATCTCCCGAAGTTAGTTCCGATGTTAAAAGGGAACTTCTTCAACTTCAACTCAACTCAGCTTTTTTCTAGGAACTCAGCAGGGTGTCTCCCTGAAGCAGAGAACCAATCGCCTAATTTGCGCGGGTGTTGCAGGTGGAGGCCCAAGCTATGACCAAAAACCCTCCCAGTTGATATCATGGTTCATAACTTACCCTGGATACATATAACATTCTATCCACGAGTAGATTAATACACAGAATCTTCTGCTGAACGTCTACATATGAAATATGACATACCTGCTGTGACGGTTAAGAAGATATAATTTTCTGCTTTCCTGTATATGTCAGATAGGGGGTGTAATACATCAGACGACTTGCAATTAAAGTGACCGGTTTGAATAACTGCCTGGTTTTTAGGTAAGTCTCTCATATCCCAAGATGTGTAATCATAGGGGAAAGTGGGTCTTGAATGTGATGTCTGCTTCTTTGCTTATCTGGAATGTCTTTGAGGCTCAGCAAGGGACTTGGTTTATGGCTTTTCAATCCCTTTCCAAGCAACAGTCTCGCAGACATATGGGCACCAGCTAATTGGGGTTTATAGCCATGACGCCCTCCTAATGAGTTTGCTGCCTGTGTTCTCTGCATCAAACAGACCATGTCACTCAACAGAGAGGAAGGGGGTATATCGGAGGAATCTGATTTGGGAGGGAGAGATACAAGATGAAGGGGTTTGGAGCAAAATGGATGACCGCGTCCATCTCTGTGTGCACGATTGCTACAGCCACAATTTATCGTGTTTATCAGTGTTAGAGCATTGTTACAGCTAAAAAACTCCTCTAGAAACTCACTAGTTGTTGGGGGGGGGGGGGGGGGGAACGTGTGCATGGACACATAGGATAACATGCTGGGGAGTTTACTGGCTATAGAAAAAATGCCAAAAGCCAAAAACAGCAGCTGTAAAAACATCGAGTGTGCATGGGAGAGCTGCAGAAGGTACTTTTCTGAGTTAAAGCATCACTAAAGGCAAATCTTTTTTTTTCAGTTTTGGATAACGTAATGAGGGATTAGAATAGCTGTCAGGTCTTCATTGCTACCTATGCCCCTGGTAGGAATATTAGCCACCCTCTATATTTGTTCTATTTATGGTTATCATTGAGAGTTAGACTCCATTCACACTTACGCAACTCCAGTGCGACTTTGATCAAAATTGCATCAAAAGTCGCATCAAAGTAGTGCAGGCACCTTTTCAAAGTCGCTGCGATCTTAGTGCCATTGAAAAGAATGAGCTGTGACTTGCCATGTGACTTTGATGTCCAAAGTCATATGACAAGTCGCGAAAGTATGAATGGAGCCTATGGAGTAATGCAAAATCCCAATTTAAGTTGCATATTTTTAGATGGCTTTCTCTCCTTCAGTATTGCTATCATATTGCTACAGTAGGCTATGTTGTCGGATACCAGCATCTGTCTGACATATGCCTGTTAAGGATGCTGAACATTGTGTTTTGATAGCTAAGCCGTGACGTTACTTTATCCCTTTGAGCTGCTTATACCAAGTATAGCTTCTGTAATTTGGTAAAAATTATAAAGAACTGACAAAAAAGTCCCAATTTTGGATTGTCACAAGACCAGGAATAAAGGGGGGAATCTTCCAAAAGGGGACACAGATTCTGGTAACCCTGATGACAACCAGGGATTCTCTCACTTTGGAGAGATTTCCTCTCACTTTCTGTTTTGGCTAGAAGACAGGAAGTATAGGGAATTCCGCTGAAGCAAGGAATAAAATAAGTTTTTCACCATATTCCTCTACCCTTAGATCTAACAAGCATTTTTTGTGTGTGTGTAAATCCCAGAGTTAGGCTTTAAAGATGTTTTAAAGACTGACAGTATAATTAGCTGATATCTAAAGGTACTCTAAGTTATAAAGCCCAGGGGGGAATATGAGCCTTTGAAAAGACAATGCCCATTAAGTTAGTCAGTCCCAAAGGAGTGAGACCATTCTCAAATGATCAGACCATCAGATGACTTCATTTGCCCAACCTGTTCATCCACTATCTAGGCCAGCCTTTCTCAAAATATTAACAGGATGGAACCCTTTATATAACTTTTTGGCTCTGGGATTCCGCTGCTAATATTAGTATGTTAGTGTGATGGTCTGTGGGAAGAAGTCTCCTTACATTTGTCTCTGTCATCTGAGTGGCAGAAATCGTTTTTTTTTTTTTTGCTCAAGGAACCCCCAGAAACCTCTGGAGGTACCCTGAGGTTCTACAGAATCCTGGTTGAGACACCCTAATCTAGGTTCTGTCAGGAAAACTCCCATACTACTAATTTGGTAACAGGTTATCTCTATTTCTCTCCGTAAGCAGCAGAGATAAAGCTGGAAACGTAACAAAAATATCCATCCCACTTAAAACCAGTTCTCAATGCCCATATGCCCCACAACAATGATATTAACACAAAACTATACGAAAAACATTCCTAATATGCAGAATGTAATCATCCATATGGCTTTCTTTTGGTCCCTCATTCATTCTTGGATAAGTTGAACACCTTCCAATTCTATCTTTTGGAGTTTAATGTGGGATACCATTTGGCTTTTTTGTGATGACTGTATGATTTGTCAGAGAAACTGAGAAATCTGGATTCCTCAAGATGTAACCGAGGTCAGTGTCATTTAACTTGCCTGAAACCATGCAAAACAGAAGTATCAGTCCATGATAAAGGGGTGGATGTAGGTCTAATAAGGTTTGTTGATCTTTATTATTCAGTGCACAAAGTTAGTTGCATTTTACCACATTAGTAGGAAAGTCTATGAAATAACTATTTCCCGTGTGTACAAGAATTACACACAAGAATTTCTGAACAGAAAACTTCTGTAATAATATGGTTGACAACTATTCATCTCCTTAGTGAGGTACTGATAAATATTTTTAGAGATAATTCTAGCCATACTGCTGACCACACAGTCCTGGTCCAGGGAGGACAAATTCTTGTGATATAATGATGCTCATGTTTACTGCCCAGTGCTTCCCATTAGATTTGCCATAAACTATTCCAACAGCAGCTTTGAAATGAGTCCAGCAATATGGGATTTTATAACCAATCAGTCCAGGGCAGCTTTTCAAATACGCATGATTAATGAGCGCTATCTGGCATATGCCTTTGACAGTAAATTTAACTGAGGTCTCTGGCACATGGTTCTCATATGCAATGGAAGAGATAATAAAGAGCACTCTAGTCTTTTTCTGTCGACTAGGCAGCTACATTGCATTGTCCATCACTAAATGGAACTGTTTAAAGTCCTATAACAGCGTAAATTGCCTTTAAGAGTTTCTGAAAGCAGCAGCTCAGGTGATCAAATGCCTATGCATTTAGTCACATGATCTGGGGTAGGATGAACGACATTCAGGCTGATTGATCCTCTCCCTTTTTGACAGAGATTACGTAACCAAATGTATGGGAATTTGTTGATGTGACCAGATACCGTGGGGTCCCACAATTGAGGTTTCTGTGCCAAAGCCTTTTATGCTTTCTACCATCTTTTATGGGTTCAGAAGAAGAGGGTGAGCAAAGTGGCAACTACAGTTCTCTTTTCAACTGAAATTGTAAGGGCAGAAATATGGAAGGGATAACTGCTAACTTGTTCTTAGAAGTGCAGGTGTTGGGGCCCTTATCCTTATTCTGGATTCACTACGTAGTAAACCACTGACTTGGAACAAACATAGAAGTTCAGAATTTCCAGACTTTTCTGGCTCCATGCTCATTCCAGGTCAGTGACTCACAAAGTAGTGAAGCCAGGATAATGATTACAGCCCTAGAGCTGGC